ACGGCACATAACAACAACAACAACAACAACAAACAACCCCTCTAAAAACTGCAATATAATTTCTTAAAAGATATTTTTTAAATTATACTCAAGCTTATTTCTGTGGAGTCAGAATCAGCTCAGAGCTGAGCCTCTTTTGAGTTTAAGTCCATAAGTTACACAGACAGATAGTTTCTGTCTTTTCTTGCAGAGCTGCTGATGGTTTTCAACTGCCTTTGGGTTAACAGCACAAGTCCCTGCCAGTAATGCCACAATAAGGACTTCATACCAGTTTGATTCGGTTCAGCTTCCAGCAAAGAATTTGCATTTCCAACTCAGATATAATGAATCAGAATCTGCACTTGACAACATCCCTAATTGATTATCTCCCGCCCCAACTGATTCTTATATCTGTCCAATGTCTCATCCATTTCTCTTCTCTGTATGTGGCTTCCTTCTCCACTCCAGAGAAATTGCTCTAGAAATTGAAATAAACTACTGCAAAGATCTGGTTAAAAACAGTTCTCTGGTACTAAATTTTCACATTCATTGAGTACACACTAATATTTTTTTTTTTAAAAAAAGAGAAGGGTGAAAGTTTTATTTGTTTACATTATGTTTTTATAAGAATCTCCTAATTCTAGAAAATTATTTTTTGCATTGACAATATCACAGAGTCTTGGTTCAAAGTGTAAACTGTACTGTGATTGTACCTGGATTCTACCCTAGTCGCTGTGGCTGTGTAAGATTACCTAAGTCATTTAATATCTATCTTAATTTCCTATTAAATATAAGAGGACCTACCTATCTATCTGTTGTAATGGGCTCTGGTGGCCTAGAGGTAAGGAGTTGCACTGCCAACCTGAAGGCATGCAGTTTCAATCAAATATCTACTAGTTGGGGGAAAGGTGAGCGGTCTTCTGTGTGATTGACAGCCTCTGAAAATCTATTCTGAGTTGTTTCTGATTTCATGGTACATAACAACTTTAGTTGTAAAATTACTACTAAGGTGTTTACTGATTTTTATCAAACGTTATAAAATGTGAGGAAAATCACTCACAATCGCTCGCATTCTCGTTTTGTGGGCTTCTAGGTGAGGCATCACAACTTTCAAGGCTTATATTTAATTGCAATTAAGTGTGTCAACTTCTTTACTCATTGCTGTCAAGTCAATTCCAACTCCTAGCTACTCAAATAGGTCAGAGTCGAGTTTCCCCATGGCGTTTCCAAGGTTTCAATCGTTGAGAAGCAGACTTCCACATTGCTCCCCAATGGAGTGGCTGGTGGTTTTGAACTGCCAGCTTTCTTTTAGCAGCCAAGCATTTAACCACTGTACCAGAGTTCCTGTCAGCTCTTGAAAAACAAAAAAGAAAAAAAAAGTAATTGAATTCCATAAACTACATAGATACTATTATTTAGTTTCAGTTCTAACTCCAGTGGCAGTGAGTTTGAGTTTTTATTGTTTAGTGATACATGATTACTGTCTTAGGAGTTCAAGGCAATATACTGCTTTTAATTTTGGGTTTTCAAAGTTTATATATGCATGTAAATGTGGTATACCTTTTAACTATGGTAGAACTTATTTTAGAATATGCTGGATGATGTATATATTTAAGTAGTATTCCTTGTGCACCACTGAGCATTGTTATATATACACAGATGTTGTGTTACTTTGAGTTTTTCTATATTTGTATTTGTTTTGTATTACATATATATGTTGTTGTGTTGTTATGTACCATTGAGTCACTTGCGACTCAAAGCAACTCTGTGTACAAGAGTCCTAAACCCCGCTCTATCCTATGCCAGTCTCACTGTCTCTGACACACCTACTCCCAATATCCGAATCAGTGAATCAATATTTGTCGTGTATTTCTTTATTAATTTGTATAGAGATTTTTGTTACTTAAATAGCAGTTTCTAAATTGAGACATATATTTTTATAAACACTTTAAATTTTCCATTTTTCTAAATCATGCTCTTTTGTCTCATTCTGATTTGGAATGCCGAAAGCTTTTGTTTCATCCAGTCAGATTGCTTTGCCTGAGGAACAGTGTCCCCGTGATGTTGAGTATCCCATTGACTAGATGAAACTTTTTTTTGCAAAGAGACAAAGTCGTACTAAATTGGCATTTCTTTGTTGCTGTAATCAAGCATTTTTGTTGGCAGACGAGCTCAGGAAAGGGACAAACAGTGGCTTGAACATGCGCAGCAGGAGGATGAGCACCAGCGACCGAGAAAGCTGCATGATGAAGAGAGACTGAGAAGGGAAGAAAGTGTCAAAAAAAAGGACAGCGATGAAAAAGGCAAACAGGAAATGCAAGACAAGTTGAGTCGGCTATTCCATCAACATCAAGAACCGCCTAAGCCAGCTGTCCAAGCACCCTGGTCCACTGCAGGTAATGGAAACCAAACACAATTCCAGAAGGCAGGTCACCTGCTCTCTCAGAACCTCTTGAGAGATTCATATCTGCTCAGACTCCATCTTTGGAGACCCATAGGAATGAGAAGGTCAGTCTCTTGTTTTGGACAGTGCAGGTGATCCCTTCAAAGCTGTTGATTCTCTAGTTACGTTAACGAGCCAGTTGCCATCAGGTTGATTCTGCCTGGACTGTGTTAGGGTAGACCCATGCTCCACAGGGCTCTCAGTGCCTCCAGCCGCTTACAAGGAAATCTTCAGGCCTTGCTTCCAAGGCACCTCGAGGTGGATTCTAATCACCAGGCTTTCTGTTGGCACTCTGGCACTTAACCATGTGTGCCACCCGGGGACTCTGCCTGGGGGCTCTGCTGGTATCAGTAGGTATCAGTTTGATTCTTTGGCCACACGTATCATATGGACATTCAGAAGTCTTTTAAGGATTTACAAAAGTGGCATGTTGTTTTATTACAGAGCCTTTTTTACACTCTTGTATATCAAATGGAGGACATGACCTTTCTTATAAAAAAGAGCCTTCCGCTTTTCCAGTTGCTTTAGCCTCTAGGAATTGCTGAGCCATTTCAGAGGCAGGAAGTAGAACCTTCCCCTCCTGCCTACACCCCTGTGGCAGTCACTGTGCCCGGCATTAATCTTTTCACCTTTTAAGAAGAGTGACTTTCCCCTCCACTTGTGACTGTAATTTATCTCTTTTGAAAACAGAAACATGAATGGCACCTAGTTTGATATGTTGTTGTTGTTTAATGCCGTCGAGTCGTAGATGACTCATAGCGACCCTATGAACGAACAGCCTGAGCACTGTTCGTACATAGAGTTTCCGGAGGCAAGCCATTTTGGAAGTGGATGCCGCTCCTGCTTCTCCCTCTACATTATTGTATGCAAAACTGTAGTGCGTGTGTGTAATATTTTTTGGCTCTGTAATACCATATAGCTTTTCAATAATAACCTGCCTTAAGAAAGTTATGTCCCCATTCTGTACAGTAAGTTGCTTTATTTTATCATCAATATAAAAATTCTTTAGGAAAAATAAATAAAATTAGTAGGATTTTATCCTCAATAGAGAGAGCTTTTGTGGCCTAGTGGTAAGAAACTGCACCACAGTCCGTAAGGCATGCCGTTCAAATCCACCAGGTACTCTGAGGGAAGAGGATGAACGGTCTCCTCCTTTGTGATTTACTGCTTCTGAAAATCCCCTAGAGGATCAGCCATACATCCGTTCCAACTTGGTGACGCGGAGTAACAGCAACATTATCTTAAAAAAAAAAAAAGTACTGTGAAATGTTTTTAGGGAGCTCTGGTGGCTTTGTGAAAGGAATCTGCACTGTAATACCAAAGGCATGGCGTCCTCCATGCAGTCCTCCAGCTGCTCCACAGGAGAAGGATGGGCAATCTCCTCCTATGAGATTTTACTGCTTCTGAAAACCTGCTGGAGGGACAGCTATGGGTCGGTTCTGACTAGGCGGCACACAACAGTATATCTATTCAGAGAGAGAGAGAGAAAAAAGGGGAAACAACACGTGTTTTTTAAACTGTTCTTAGAGATTCGTGTAGTGCCTGTCTGCTCAGTGAGCAGAGGCTGGAGTGAGAGGACAGAGCTGGCTCAGGCACCCTTCTGCCTTGACATGTACACACAGCCTTGTGACAAAGGCTGGCAAGTCATCACACCCGCACAGCAGCAGCTCTGGCTGTAAAAGGATAAATACATTTTTCTGTGTTTTTTTAACTGAAGAACAGATCATTGCTTCATCTTAAGACAATTGATTTCAATTTCTTGTGCTTTCTTCTGAGAAAAATGGTGGGTTTTTTTCATGTTTTATCTTTCTAGGGTTGTTTTGCTTTGTTATTTTTTGTTTATTTTTTAATCCTCTCATTCAGCACACACACACACACAACCCCCTATCTCTTTTCCCTTGCTTTTCAGAGAGGATAAATATGTGTCAGAATTTTCTTGCTGCTCTCTGGTAAAAAAATTCAAAGAGCTTTTATTAGATATTGTTAACCAGAAGCCCAAATATCCTCAGCTTGTGTGCATTTTAGAAATTGTTTTTCATTTAAGATCCAAATTTTTTTTATCCTGGGCCTTTACATTCATTTTCCCACTAAGAAATTCAGGGAAACATTCATGTCACGTGGGTCTATTGGTAATAACTGGTTTTGGTGACAAGAACTCCTATGGCAAGGTAATCAGACTGCTAACCCCAAAAGCTCGGAAGCCTTGAACCACCAGTGGCTCCTTGGGAGAAAGGTAGGCAGTCACTTCTTGTAAAGCTTCCAAAACCTAGAAGAAGGTCAATTATGAGTTGATTCTGACTTGATAGCAGTGTATTAAGTGAGTGAGTGAGTCATGAGACTTTTGGTGAAAACACTAAAGTCACTTCCGTAGTTTTTTAATGTGAAAAATTGTACTGCTTTGTCCCCTTCTAAATGAGTTTCTTCTTTGGCCAATTCAGATATTGAGTCACTTCCTAATTGCTGGATTGTGCTCAGTACCCGAATGGGAGGAGAGTTAGTGATGGTTTACAGGCATGTGTGGCTCTGGTTTGCAGAAAAGCAGAAGAAAGGGCCTTCAGCCTTGTGTCCACTGCATCATGTGCTCTTTGTCCAGGAGAGTGTGTTCATGGGAGATTCTCGGTTGGACTTGGTCACTGTCATCACATGCCTCTCTCCCTTGACTGTCATGTTTCAGAAATACCTTCTTACATGGTTGGAAATAGTTCAGGTGTGAAGATAGGCCACACATGATGAGTATTTGAGTTGGCATGTATTTCTATTCTACCTAATGTTTTGTTTTTTACTCCCCTCAACCTTCTGTAAACAGAGAAAGGCCCACTTACGATTTCTGCCCAGGAGAATGTCAAAGTGGTTTATTACCGAGCATTATACCCCTTTGAATCCAGAAGTCATGATGAAATCACTATCCAGCCAGGAGATATAGTCATGGTAAGAAAGACTCCATTAAATATGTGATTTCTTTAGGTGATTATCATCTGTTCTCTTTCTATATTTTTTAATATTTTATAAATGTGAAATCCAATAGTCTGCCATTAGAATTATTAATATCTAGGCTGTCTTCCTTTTCTATTAGAATGAAAAAAGACATTGTGAAAATTTATCCTAACATCATTTAAAACTAGAGTTACTAAAGAAAACTTGTTCTTAACACAGTTTTAACATAATATTTTAAAGTCTGTAAATGTTCAATAATTTCAGAATTGAATTTAGTATTTCACATCTTATGAGTACTCTGTAAAAAATTATTAAAATACAGAATGCTCTTTCAACATTCTCACAGTTGTCAATGATAACTTTTGTATCTTTGAATATCTTTTTACCCCTTCAGTTGTGTGAACTTTTAACTGCGTGATGAAAAGTAATGTGTTGTGTTTGACCTAATGTAAACCCTTGTATGATTGCAATAAATTTCTTGTGTAGATTTAAAAAAAAAAAAAAGAAAAGTAATGTGTTAAATACAGCAAATTTGCATTTCTACTGCATATGTTAATAACACATGAAAAAGTTCAGAATTATTTCATGTATTTTAAAAATTTTAACAATATTAAATGTAGTTCTACAATTGCAATTGAAACTACAATAACTAGTTAGAAAGAAAATAAAGCAATGTGATTGACGTAGATTACACAGAAAACAGTAGTTTTCCTTGATCTAGTTACTCATTTAAGATTCTTAGATGTGATCTGACTTTGTATTAATACCAGCTTTTTAAAAAAAGACATAAATCATTCAAAAGTTTAAAAAACTAAAATAAAAAATTGAGATGAACATATTTTTCAGACTAGAATTGTCTATCTTTGAGTCATGCACTCATCTTTTACGTACATGTCGCATATCTCTTTGGAAAATATAATAGGCAAAAAATAATAGATGTAACAATGTATTTTGTATTCAGAGAAACCAATCTTGTCACCTTTATCAGATAATGCTTTCTAATTACGTTGGATAAGAAATAAAAGAGTCAAACTCAAAAGTTCAAAATCTTTAAAAGTGAAAATTACCTCAACTGTAGTAAAAACTTTCTTTAAATACACTTTCCACTTTTATTCAGCAAACAACAGCTGAACATTTGAAGTGGGCCGGGTGCTGGCTCACTCATTCTGTCCAGGAAGAATGTGGACCTCTAGAGTTGTGCAAAGCCAACCGTGGTGGTTTGTTAGCTTCTCAGCTTCCTCCTTACTTTACCATCTCTTGGGTCCCAGTCTGTTTTTTAATAATAGGAATCCACTTTGCTCACACTGCCTCCTAGTTTAAATGGTGTCCTTTAAAGCAAATTAATTATACAGATACCCAGTAATAGGGAACTCTGGGTGGCCTAGTGACAAGAAGCAGTGCTGCAATCCCAAAGGCACATAGTTCAAGGCCACCAGCTGTTCCATGGGAGAAGAATGGGCAATCTCCTCCCATGCGATTAACTGCTTCTGAAAACCCGCTGAAGGGTCAGCTATGGGTTGGTTCTGACTCTACGGTACACAACAACAAGCATCACGCAGTAATAATGGAAATCTAAAAATTAACAGTGGTGGGGAGGGGCCTTGATGTTTTTTAAACTGGATTTTGTTGCAACAAAATATATAGAGTTTTTAAAAACTGCTTATGTTAAGGAAATGTTATAGATGCTCTATGTCGTAATGAGAAAACATTGCTATTTGGTGCTTCTATAATCGCAATTATCTTACAGTGATCTTTCCTCTGGCTAGTTTAACCACCAGCTTGATAAAATGAATAGAGTTTAGATATACTGGTAAAAAGAAAACATTTCATTAAACATATATTTTGCCTTTCAAACCTTTGCTTTCCTGGTGGAGGTTAAAGGGGAATGGGTAAGTGCTGTGTAACTGTCAGGAAGTCTGCATCTTATTCAATGTTTTGTTCTTTTAGATTACTCTGATTTTGTGTAAGTACACATATCTTTGGGTGTTGTTGTGGCAATAGGAATATGTTTGAGTTTGTAGAGTAGTTTGTGCTCAAAAAAAGAGAGGTATCATATCAGTCTGAGTTTGTGTGTCTGGTTTATCTTTGCTAGAAGTCCATGTTTAATTCTAATTTAAAGTCTGCATTTAGCATATTATTAGGTAAAGTCTCCATGTCTGGCCATGGATAATCTTCCAAATAGATTAAATAAATTTAAAAGATAAGATTCTGAAAATAATGGAAAAAAGAAAGAACAGTTGGAGTGATTTTGTGGCTAATAAAGACATTCCAGTAGCAGAAAACATAAAAGACAAAGATGGACAGAGTTGACAATTAAAAGTTATTTCTTATTGCAAATATGAAAAGCTAATAGTCCTACTATGTAGAATTCCAATGAATTAATTCTAGAAAAAAGAGCCACAAAACTTGGAAAAGTTGCAGAAGGTATGAAGAGCCATTCACAAATAAAAAGTATTTTTAAAAATGTGAAAAAGATGTTTCTCTTTTACAAATGAAAAGTAAATAATTTTTAAAATATGTGAAAAGATACTCCTCAGTTTTGGTCACCAGGAAAATACAAATTAAAACAGCAATGTAGCATTTTCTATATAACAAATTTAAAAGTTTAATAATATCCTGCTTTGTCAAAAGTATAGATAAAGGAATAGGTTCATTGTTAATGGGCTTATAAAATTTGTTTACATTTTGGGGGGATAATTTGTCAACAATATCCATTAAGATATAATAACCATTAAGATATAATTTCCAGTCCTCTTGTCATAGAAATTCTTTTCTCTCACCTATGGCTGTTTTCTTGATACGTGCATCAAAAAATACAAATAAGCTGTCTGTTGAAAAGTCAGAGCCAATATGTAGAATGTGATGACATTTTTTGTTTTAAATTATGTGTGTCTGTGTCAGTGTTTGTGAATTGTTAACAGTCTTGAAATATATACATCAAACTGTTAATGGTGGTTACCATTGGACAGTAAAAGAAGAACTTTGGTGTTTGATTTTAGACATTTTTGTGTTATTTTTATATTTCTAAACACTTGTAAATTTAAGAAAACATTTTTTAAAAAAACAAAATGAAGAGGCAAGAATAGGAGAAAGTCTCAGCAACACTAGAATGTTGTTTATCTCAGACATTCCAGATATATAGTGAAATGTGAAATGTAATACTAAGCATAATTTATTGGTTTGTTGAAGGAACAATAATGTCTTCATTTTTTTCCAGAAGGCAGCATGATATTCCAAATACCATTCAGCAGTATTTATGAGGATATAAATCAATGGAAATTGAAATTCACTGCAACAGTTTTTGTTGGTTTTTAATTTCACAAAGTTTGATGTTAGGAAACATGAACATCAGTTTTATGTAATAAAGCATGAGTATCCATTTTAAAAAAAAAGAGTTGAATCATCAAAGATTCATCAAAGTAAATCATCAGATTCTCATATTTCTCCAACTCCTTTGACAAATAGTTATTAGATTGTGCAAGTCTAAAATTTCCTTTTTAATGCAAAAAGTCTTTGAGTATCAACTTTAAAGAAAGGTTTTAGATTAACAAAGATGAAATGTGATTATTGGTACACTTTTTCACAATTTTTTTTTCATAGTTTAAGAACATTTTATGTACATTTATCTAAATGTTGATGGTACTGAAAAAAAAAAGTAAAATGATGCCTGTCATATTGTTGTTGTTGAGTGGCATAAAGTTGGTTTTGACTCAAAGGAACCAAATGAAACTGTGTAGAACTGCCCCCCTGGGTTTTCTTCACTGTAATCTCTATAGAAGCAAGTTACCAGATCTTTCTATTGTGGAGCCTGTAAGTGAATTAGAAACACTATCCTTTTGGTTAGTAACTCAATGCTTAATTGTTTGCACCCAGACTTATGTATCTACCATGCATATATTTAAAATCTTTTTAGAAAATGAGGAGGAACAAAAAAGCAAGCATATGGTGAAGTTCTCAATGAATGCTCAGTGTAACTGTTAGGTATTAAAGGAGGAAAGGAATCAGTGTTGATGTGAACTGATGTGTTCAGGAAAGATGTAATGGAAGCTTTTTTGTGGAATTTGATCAGACAAAAAAGGTTTCGAATCTTTGGAAATACATGACCTACTTTAAAAAAAAATTGTTTCCATTGTGGTTTGAATGAAAGTTTACAAAGATACTGGTTTTTCATTCACTCATTTGTACAGATTTCTCCCCTCTTCCCTCCTACTTCATTCCATCTGTTCCAGACTGTTAGTTGCATTAGTGACCTCACTTCAGATCTGAGGCTGTGCTGGTTCTGTTAGGAATCATTTTCAGGAACCACTAATCTAACCTAAACTCTCTTTCTTGTGAGGACTAATCCAGAATAATTTCTGAAAAATATTTTCTTTTCAATTCTAAAGAAGAAGAGGCTTATTTATTATTTTATCAACCAGTCAATTCATTCTGGTGATTTTTATTCTCTTAGGATTACTCTTGTAAATAATTGGAACTCATTCCCCCTCCCCCCGCCCCCTTGTTCTTTTGTAGAATAGCTGCATTAATATCCTCCCTGAGAAGTGTTAGGAGAAACTGGTTTTTTTTAGCTGACAGAATCATGGAGCATATTTTGCTATCCACAGTCCTCAGCATATTCAAGTGGCTACTACCAGATGGTCCAAAGTGGTAGACAGTTTGCTAACCATATTTTTTATCACACTGTGAAGGAAGATAGAATGTGTTTTCATTCTTTATGACAAGGTCAGAGAAATACTGATAACTACCAAGAAAGATAGCAGGCATTAAATACATCAGCATTCAGAGAAGTGGTGCATATAAGCAATTTATTGATTACTATGGAGCTTTTGCTAAATGGACTTGAACCTAAATGGTGTCTATCTACATTTGACCAAACTAAAAATAAACCAATTGCCGTTGAGTCAGAACCAACTTGTAGTTGACCCTCCAGTGCCTTTTCCAAAACGGTAAATTGCCTCATTGCCCTTCCTTCTTTTTCCTGTTGAGCAGCTGGTACATTTGAACCACTAGAAAGGTGTCTCCTTTGAGTTAGCAGCACAGCTGCCTAGAGACTAGGCCAAGAGCGTCCAGGTGTAACCAGTGCCTGTGGGGTATCACATTGTGCAGCATATCCCTGCTAACTAATTCATTATAATACTAACATTTTTTGTAAAATAACTCTATAAAATGCCCCCAGATAAACTCTGGAGTTTACATCACCGATTTTGATGGTGCTACATTAGGTGATTTCAGTTGTTTTGTAATATTGCTGTGGGCCTGGCGAAGTGAAATTGCATTCCATTAAGACAGTACTGGGAATATTAACATCCCTCTGACCTATAACGACTAGTAAATGAATGTGTGTAAAAAGCCTACATTATAGCCAACAAATTCATATTTGTCTTAATCTTGAGTAAGATTGGCTGAATTGGTATTTTGGATATAGTCCCCTAAATTCAGGGAGAAATATTACCCCCCCCAAAAAAAATTATGTTCTTCACTTTTTCCCCTAAGTGGTTAATATAACTTAATATACTGTATGTCTGAAGAATAGATTTTTAGTATGACCTTTGAGCCTTAAGATTAACTAGCCACTAGTTCATTAATTTCTTTAAGAATAAATATAACTGCCCATCAACAAACGAATGGATAGAGAAGCTGTGGTATAGTCACATAATGAAATACTATGCTGCATTGAAAAACAAGGAACTCATGAAATATTACACAGAATGGGTGACCCTGGAGGACATTATTCTGAGTGAAATATCTCAGTCACAAAAGGACAAATCCTACATGGTGCCACTGTTTTAGAGTGGGACTGATATAAGAGTTGGGGTAAGACTGAGAAAAACTGGATAAATTATGTATACAGCATTGAAGCAGATGAGGGAGAGAATTGTTTAAAAGGGATATATTATTAGGTATTATTGTCATGACAAAAGTCCAGAAGAGAGGAGTGAACTGGAGGGGTGGGGGGGGGGGGGGGGGGGGGAGAGGGTGGGCAGGGAGAAAAGTTCAACAATGAATGAATGGAAATCCAAAATCTCTGTAAATGTTCATTTAAATTATTAAAATAAAATTTAAAAAGAATAAATATAACTTATTGAGAATATTGTTTGTTTATAGTTGACCAATGAATGTTCTTGGTTAAAAGTTAAATACTCAAGTCACTGTTGCTTCCAGAGAACTCCAGCCTTCTTCTCTCCCTCTCTCTATCCCTCAACCCCTCATCCTAATGTACAACCACCCTGCACCCATGCCTTCTGTACTATCTGGGTGACATTCTGGGTGTGGTTCTTTAACTAGAATGTGAGCTCGACCTGCCCATGGGGTGGGGCATTTCCTCAGGATTTCAGATAGTAGCCAAATCCTGTTAACTAGACAAGGCACTGTGTCTGAAGGGAATGACAGTGAGCTGTGGGACATAATTAAAATACCTAGATATCAAAGGAGTCCACCTTTGACAGACCAGTAGGAGCCAGACAGGCAATGTTCAGAAATTGAAAGCCCCCTAAGATTATTGGCAAGAAACCCAGAGGGAATAGGGGACCACAATTTTAGAAAAGTATCCAAGGCCTGGTAACAGAATAGTAGCACAAAGCAGAATTAGACATCAGGTGACAATCAGTGTTTAAATCAAAACCACTTAACTGCAGAGCCCTGTTCTCCATCATTACACCTTGCAGTCTTGAGACATCCTTACTGTGTATTTAGCTCAGTTCCTCACTCACTGCGGCCTGGTGCCCCCCGTGTTCCTAGAATAGCACAGAGGGCGGTGGAACTTGGCAGTTGGACACATTGAGCCTTCAGGGACGCTGTAGCATATGACCCAGCCTAGAAACAGCTGTTTACAGTAAAGAGCAGTGGCAGAGTTGCAATGTGAATAGCATCGCCAGTGAATATAAATGAGGAAGGAAGGGCATTTAGCTGATTATTTTGGCATAAAATAAGATCCAGATAGAGAGTAGCCTAAAATCCTCATCTAAATTAACAGTTGTGATTGCCCAGCAAAAGGAAGAGAAAGAACAAAACAGTGTAAGAGATTTGAATTAAAAGTGGCTAATGGGTCACATCTGATAGAAGTGTTAATAAGAAGAGTAAACTGGTAAAGCCAAAAATAGAACCTTTGGAAATATTGGTACACTTTATTTGAGGAAGCTCCTTTTTGGTTGCTTGGAGAAGTTTTAAAATACTACATTTGGCCCTAAAACCCACAAAGGTTAGGACCACTAACACTTCGTCTACCTGCATCCTCCAATTGCATATATATTCTCATAAAATCCTGAAAATCCTGATAAATCTTTTGACTCTTCAAAGAGTTAACTACTAGATGTCCCCTGATAATATACAGTTTGTTAACACATATCTTGTGTGTTTTATTTATTACATATAGCACTCACATAAAAGCTATGTTTTCAATATATTATAAAAGGTATTTTGCAAAAATATGCGGTATTGTTATGGCTGCTAGTGTAGCTGCAGTGATTGGTTGGTTGTGTTTTGTTTTTATCTTTTTATACATTTTTTATTTTATACTGGTTTACTTACAAAGTTCATATACATTGTTTCTCACACCAGATCTTTCCCATTTCCTTTACCCACTCCTCCCTCCACCTACCAAACTGTTCAACCCTATGATTAAACTCCTTCATCCTCCCCCCTTTCTCACCCCCAACCCTCTTGTTCAACAATAATGGTCTTAAACGTATTTGTCCTTATGGGACTGAGTTAGTTCACTTAGCACAATGTTCCCCAGCCCCTCCCAAGTTAGGTAGTGATATTCAGAATCATTTCTCCAGTTGCAGGGATTCTTACACTAGATTGGTTTATCTTGAAATGATGGACAGTCGTAGCTGTGTATTGTAGTCTATGTTGCATATTAAGCAATTCTACTTTTACTCATAATGTTAACCTTGCTCTGTTCCTTGAGAGCACTTCCAGCATCACTGTTGGCACTTCAGTGGATCCTATGATGTTATTCAAGGTTTACAGGATTGCACTCAACATGATGTGGTTCTTAGAAACCACTTTTCACTTAGAATAAAAGATACCAAGGAGAACAGAATCTTTAAAACCCTAAAGCAGAGATGAGGAGGCAGAAGGAGTAGAAAATGTATAGGAAAGGAAACAAGGAACCCAGGATGGAAACGCAGTGTTGGTGCATTTTATGCAGTAACACGGAACACTCAGTGTACAAATCGTCAAAGGGAAATAATTTCTGTGTAAACTTTCACCTAAACCACATCCACACACAAGGTGTCTACCTTATTGCTCCACTGTGAGGAAATAGAGATGGTCAGTTTGTTTAATAGTTTTTTTGTCCTCTTTTTGAAAAACCAAAAACTGATTATTTTAATGGATTAGAACACTGGTGGTTATTTTATTGTGGGTTTTTTTTTAACACTGGCATTTTGCCAATCTTTTCCAATATTATTGTTATATAATACCTAATCATTCATATTTGTGATTTGTAAACAGCATCCAGTGACATGTTTTGTGTCTTATCTTTGGCAAATGTGAATATGTGAAAATAAAATAGTCTCTGTAGAGAATTTTTAAATTTATAGAAACAAAAATAATTTTCTAATAAATTTCTAATTGGACTTCAAAGTTATTTTCCTGTTGCTTATAAAATAGTACAAGTCCCTTAAAAAATCAGTAGAATCAATTTGGCCTTTTTCAATGAGCCTTTTGAGTCAAAATTAAAATAAAGTTTAAACATTAAAGGAAGTTGGTATATAGAATAATTTGTAAACTTTCATTCAAATTTAAAAAAGGAAATTGGGGGAAAAGCAGTTAGTCTATGAAAATTTTAACAACGGAATCCTATATTCTCATCTATGATTTTTAGTTTAAGTTAAATTCATGTAGAAGGGAACGATAGAGCCTTAATAATGAAATTATTTGTCATTGTTTATAGTGTTTTAGATCACTAAAATATATTGATTACTTTTTGCTTTCTACTTTTAAATAATAATAAATCCAAGTCAAATTTTTTTTAAAAATATGTAACTGCTTTCTTTAATGATGAAACAAGTCAGATTATTTTCCAATTAAAAATATTTTTAAAAATTTAAACTGTGTGCCTTAGGATTTTATCAGAAAAAGAGAAGATGTGTGCATGTGCACACTCACACACACACACAAAATATTCATATCTATATATATTTCTTGGAGTACAGTGCTTCCAGATTTTTTTTAATTAATATTTTGAGACCATTTTTCCAAACTCTTAGACTAAGGATAAAATGAAGGAATCTCTACACGCAGGATCATATAAAAGGGTCAGAGGCGTAGGACTTTGTTCTGGAATGTGCTTGGTGTATTTGGGGATTGGTTTCTTTCCACTTACATTAAATGTGTTGACTTTCCTGCAGGTGGATGAGAGCCAAACTGGAGAACCTGGATGGCTTGGAGGAGAATTAAAAGGAAAGACAGGATGGTTCCCTGCAAACTATGCAGAGAAAATTCCAGAAAACGAGGTTCCTGCTCCCATCAAACCAATGGCTGATCTGACATCTGCCCCTGCACCTAAATTGGCTTTGCGAGAAACCCCCGCCCCCGTGGCAGTGCCCACTCCAGAGCCCTCCACAACCTCAAACAACTGGGCTGACTTCAGTTCCACGTACGTGCTACCAGGCTATTTCTGATTAGTTTTGAATCCTCAATTTAGTGAATAATTTTTCCCCAGTTGTCTTTTGGCACATGTGTTGTGCCACTAATTGAAGTAGCTGGGTTGAAGTTGCTGCATTACCACTTTCTCTGCCTGGTCCATTGGCAAATGGTGGATTCCATTCTCTAAAATGGATTTAATTCTATCATTGCCCAAAAGGATATTTATCAAGGTAGGAAATAAAGTCCACTAGTTTGTTTAGTTATATAGACTCTCTGTTTTATTCTTGTGAAAGAAATGGAGAAATAGAGGTTCCTCATAATCTCTTTTGACACCCATGTCAGTCAGCAAATGTTCAGTCATTTCCTGAATATAAATAGCAATTTTTTACTGGGTTTCAGAAATTCAGTCATGTGGACTAAACGATAGAAAGCTGTTTCCTAAAAAAAAAAAAAGAAAGCTGTTTCCTTTATATACATTCCACTGTCATTAATCTTAATATACATATCCAGTGGTAAGAAAAAAAATGTGTGCTCTTGTGCACTTGCTATTTGTTCTGTGTCCTTCGCCATCAGGCAATGGCATGGAAAAGCAGGGTGTGGGCAGGACTTGGGCATGAGAATGGAGTAGCCATCATGAGACCCACTGATTTTGGGTCATGCTTTTGATGTACATTTGTCTGAAAACCGTTTTAAGTGCAAGTGGAAATATTTTTAATAAATATTTTACCTTTTTTCCACATTTAAACACCTTTCAAGGAACTCTGGTGGTATAATCTGTGACTTGTAGTGCTTCAAACCAAAAGGCTTGGACCCACCAAATGGGCATTCTCATCCTGTACAGATTTAAAGCCTTGAGGACTCAACGGCGAGTCATTAGAACTTGTAATTGATTTGGTGGCAGTGAGTTGAATTCAGTCACCTTTCAGAAGAAACAAATCAAAGGAACTGAGGAAGATCACATGAAACCATAGAGGGGGGAAAGGCCACTAATGTCTAAGGGCTAGAAGGAGGAGAGGAAAAGATAGAAGGAATAGCAATTTTTTTCTACTTATAATTTCATGTAAAAGGTTGAAAGTTCTGAAGAAGGTCCTTATCTCACTTCCTGTGACAATGCCCACTTCCAAGGCCTTCACAGCCCCAAACACCTGCGCCAGCTTCAGCACCACATCCATATAGCCATGCTATTTCTCATTGTTTTTTTTTAATTATAGAATTAATAATTTGTCTTTGTCATTCATTTGTATTTAAAAAATAGCCTTTATTATCTTGACTTCCAAGTTGAAACACTTCTTCGTGACTTGGGTGTTGATTTTAAAGGTTGACTTTTAAGTGAGAAAATTATTATCTGTTCTTTATTTTTATGAATAAAATTTTAATTGTGATTTTGGCAAATGTTTGCAGAGAAGTTAGATTTTCATTCATTCATTGTTGCATATTTTATCCCCTCTTCCTTCTCCTCCAGTTCAGTTTTTTTAAAAATTATTCATTCATTATTACACAATTATCTACCTCTCCCCCACTCCCTCCAGTCCCCTTTCAACAATATCCCTCTTATTCTTGGCTGCCGTTGAATGTACAATGCCTAATCACCTATTCCTTTTAAACAGTTATTTCTTTCCTCTGTTCCAGTGTAATGGTCATTATCTATTCACTCTTATCCTAATATTCTCCCAACCCCCATTTCAGACTTGCTTTATAACAGTGGCTTTATGCAGTACTTGTCCTTTTGTGACAAATACTTTTTGTGAGGTATTGCACTCAGCCTGATATCCTCCAAGATCCATGTTGTGTAATGTTTTACAAGTTCATTGGTCTTCAGTGCTGCATAGTATTCCATTGTATGAATATACCATAATTTCATTTATTGATGGACACATGGGTTGCTTCCATCTCTTTGCTGTTGTAAACAATGCAGCAATAAACATGAGTATGCACAAAGGTTGACTTTTAAAATCAGAGTTTAGCCATAAGTAGGCACATGTCATGTTACTCAGGATGTGATTTTGTTCTGTAACTGTCATTCGTGACACATGTGTATTGGGTACTTCTCCATCATATATTATAGGCAGGACATTTTCCACACCCAGAATCAGGATGTGTGATTCTGATTTTCACATTAGTTATACTTTTGATAACCTCATGCAAGAGTTAATCACAACTCATGGTGATCCATCTGTTACAGCATAGAATTGATCATGATCAGGCTTCCTTAGGCTGTGGGCTGTGATCTCTGCAAAGCAGATTGCCAGGCTTCTTTTCTGTGGAACTACAGGGTAGATTTGAACCATCAGCTGTTAGGTTAATAGCTGATCACAGACAACTTGTACCACTCAGACTCTGTATGTTACAAACATAAACAGTACGTTGCATTTAAATCTGCACTTGCACAGACATTTTCTTTTAAAATTATCACAAAAGTAATTTTGACCATTCATAATTTCAGTGGTGTTGAGGCAAAATAAAAGGGAAGTGGTATTCAGAAGCTCCAGATGCAAAGCCACATGCTAGCATGTGGCGTGCTATTTTTTTTTTCTCATTTAGTTGTTGCTGTTAAAATTGATGATGGTGATCCTATGAAGATGTTGTCTGGTGCTTTAGAAGTTATAAAATACAATGAAACCTGTAAGAGCCAGAATGCAACAGAAGTACCTTTCTTTTTTTTTTTTTTTTAGTTTTGAAAGTTTTCAGCTTTGACAAGACATGTTATTTTTTTTATTGTTTATTTAGTGGGAAAATACTTGATTCCCACCCTCTGTATGTCCTGATTTTGGCAGGTTCTTCTGCATTTCCCTATCCATTATTTCTCGTAACCCTTACAGCTAACCATTGGTGGGCCAAATATTGTTCCCATTTGATCAGTGAGGAACTCAGGAATCAGAGAGGCGGTGCAGTTTGCTCATGTTTGTTGCCAGTGTGAAGCTCAAGGTGAAACCTGTTCCCCTTCTTCTTTGTTCTTTAATTTATGAAATCCTATTTAGTGGTGTACTTTTCTTCGCAGGTGGCCCACCAGCACGAGTGAGAAACCAGAAACAGATAACTGGGATGCGTGGGCAGCGCAGCCCTCCCTCACCGTCCCAAGCGCTGGCCAGTTAAGGCAGAGATCGGCCTTTACGCCAGCCACAGCCACCGGCTCCTCTCCATCTCCTGTGTTAGGCCAGGTAAGAGCAGTCAAGGGGAGCGTGAAAGGCTCTGTGCACAAAATATTGAACAAATATTTGTTGTCTTTACAAGTAAGCTTCGTCATATGTATTTGAGTCAGCTGGCAGGATGGGATCCAGTTCATATTTTTCCTAAATAATCAGTGTCAATTGCAGTAGTGAGAGTAATCAGAGTACATTGCTGGTTTCCCAGGGAATTGTCTTCACTACTGAAATGGCCTTTGAGGCATGTCTTGAGCAGTAGGTAAGATTTTTTTAAAATGAAAGGGCTGGTATATCAGACATGAAATGCTATGGAGAGGAGCTCCTTCAACCATTTGGCTGAGCCATTTAAATTATCTCTAGGTTGTGAGAAGCTCATGAATGTCCTGCTAAGAATGAGCAGTTTCTGAAATGATAAAGGTAGAAATTCTGCAAGATAAACTAATAAAATAGACTGGAGAGTAGGAGATAGGTATGTAGTGGAGCCATTCTTTTATTGAAAATAATCAGATCCAGGGAAATGTGTGGAAAGAATATAGGAAGACAGTATAAAATACATAAGACTTATATTGTGTTACGTGGCCACAGTCAACACTCTTGTTACCAGCAGCAAAGAAATCAAAAGACAAATTGCATTAGGAAAATCTGCTGTCAGGGACCTCTCCAGAGTACTGAAAAGCAGTGACATCAGTCTGGAGACTAAGGTGTGCCTGATACGGGCTATAGTCTTCACAATTACTTCTTATGCACCAGAAATCTGAATAATGACTAGGGTTGCTTAAAAGAGAATGATACTTTGAGCTGTGGTGCTGGAGAAGAGTACTTAATATACCATGGACTGCTAGAAGAACAAACAGGTTCAACCTGGAGAGGGTGAAACCAGGCTGCTCATTGGAGACAAGGATTCTGACATACTTTGGACATGTTGCAAAGAGGGATCAGTCCTTGGAGAGGAACATCATGCTTGGGAAGGTGAGGAGGAAGCACAGGAGAGGAAGACCTTTGATGAGATGGATTGACTCAGTGACTAGGGTAATGAGGGTGGATTTAGCGGAGACAATAAGGTTGGCTCAAGATACACCAGGGTTCAGAACTGTGGTCGCTATGAGTTGCAAGTGACTCAATGGCACATAACCAAAACAACAATCATGTGACCTCGTAGAAGAAGCTACCAAACGTTTCTTTGCACCCATCCCACCTTAGTGCTTAGCATGTGTTAGGTGCTCGGTTGATACTGATGATGGAGGACAGTGGTGTCTTCAGGAGGTATGCTTATTAAAGGCTTTGGTCAGGGCCAAGAAGATACCCCAGGATGTGGCAAACAGAATATCTTTGTAACCTGGAAAAGAGTAGATAAACCAAAAGGGGTAAAGCCAGAATGAGTGGTGAGAAAATGAGAAGGTTTGTGAAGAAGAGATGGAGCAAGACAGCGTGAGGGGCACTGGAATTGGCAGGAGCCTGCTCTTTGAGTCTCAAAGTGGAGCAAGTAGCAGAGAATAACATTGATTTAAGGTGGAAACAGTTCTAAAAGCATGAAAAGAGGGCAGGGTTCTTTTTTCTTCCGGTAGAGAAAGGATGAAGAGAGATTTGAGAAAGATAAAGTCAAGATTTTTCTTATTTATTTTTTTTTTTAAACAAAAGAAGCCCAGGTTGTGCTGTGAGGAATAATTCTTAGTAAGAAAAGGCCTCAGAGGGCCTAAAGGGTATAGGAGAGTCAGGAGTGCAAAGTAGGATTCTAACAACTGACAGTAAAGAAGTACGCAGCTGACTTGGAGCAGAATCTGTGATTGATAACTTTGCTTTTATCTAGCATACTTCACAATTTGGGGTTAGGAATAAATAATAATAATAATAATGTAAATCACTGAGGGAAGTGTTGGTTCAAGGGCCCAGCTCTCATCATCCACACAGGAGACAGGAGGCCTGGGCTCATTTTTCTGTCACTTGTCTCTCAGCAGAGGTTCCTTTGTGTCTGTGATGTTGAACAGGCTCCAAACTAAAACAGACTAGTAAGAAAAGCATGGTGATTTACCTCTGAAAATCTGGTAGTGAAAACCGTGTGCTCGCAGTAGTCTGATCACGTCAGGCGTGTGGGTCACCAAGAGCCAGTGGCTGACTCACTGGCAGCTAACAATTCAGGTTGTGTCTGTTTTTAAAAAAGAGGCTTTTCAATACAGTTATCAACAAATTGGTTTTGAATAAATTGTTTTAGGAAGTTATCATTTATTCCTTTCTGTTGCATATATTTCTGAAAGGTGGTATTTTATTTTCAGTAAGAGTTTGAGATTCTCTTGATAGTTTTATGAAGCAGTTGTTTTCTTTTCAATACTAATGACCCCCTCACCCTGCCTTTCCAGCCTCAGCTCCTCCGACACCCCTCCATGCCACTAGGCCTCCTGTGCCCCCGGACTGTGCTCCTCTTCATGGACCCTTTGCCCGTGCTGTGCCCTCAGCCTGCTGTGCCCCGCCTCCGAAGCCCTAGCCCTCAAACCCCTTTTCGTCCCTCAAGGCCCAGCTCCAGCGCTGCCTCCTCTGTGATATTCTCTCTGCTGTTCCCAGGCAGAATTCACCCCCCTTTCCTCTGTGCGACCTCAGAGAATAGGTGGAAACTTTATTTAACACAGTTTAATTTGCCAAGTGGTATATGTAGTTGTTTGTATCTCTTCTTTCTTACCCACTAGTTGTAAGTATTTTGCTAATATTATGCTGTCCATTTTTATAGAATATTTGGGTGGAGCAACTCGTTAGTGCACTCAACTGCAAACTGAAAGGTTAGAGGTTTGAGGCCACGCAGAGAGCCCTGGGAAAAAAGGCCTGGTGATCTACTTCCAAAAACCCAGCCGTAGGGAACCCTATGGAGCACAGTTCTGCTCTGACAGGCACAGAGTCCCCACAAGTCACCACTGGTGAATGGCTGCTGGTTTTCATGGTTCAATAAAGAAATTATCTTGGGGAGACAGAGATTGTGCATTCTGTTCATCTTTGTAACCCCAGAGAACCTTGTATGATAAATGATGATTAAACTGTATAAAGTTCCAGGATGAATATTTTGTCTTCTTCTTACACTGAATTTATGTTAACCAAATTTCTGTTTCTCTAAAAAAGGCAAGCAAGAACAAATATGGAAATCTTTTTTCTTTGTGTGTTGAAAGTACAGTATAAGTGTAATCTTATAAGATTTCTTCAGATTTCTGGTATTGTATTAATCCGCCACCAAAAAATCTAAGTCAGATTGGAAATGGAGAGGTTCTTTGACAAATTTGAGTTGCAAATAGAACCAAAATAAGAGTTCTGGGTGCCTCACTACTAGCTATGAGACTAGGCTAGCAGGTTTTCATCTCGTTTTCAGAAATAATTGTTAAGAAACACGTGCACTGCACTGAAGCGCGGGGTCCGTGGTCCCTGTGTGTGGCTCACAGGGACTTGTTGGCAGTTGTCATCATCTGCATCTGCCTGCATTCTTTACTAACCATCGTGTAATGATGACTCCTTTATGTTCTTTCACACAAGGGCGAAAAGGTGGAAGGGCTCCAAGCGCAAGCCTTGTATCCTTGGAGAGCTAAAAAAGACAACCATTTAAATTTTAACAAAAATGATGTTATCACTGTCCTGGAGCAGCAAGACATGTGGTGGTTTGGAGAAGTCCAAGGCCAAAAGGGGTGGTTCCCCAAGTCGTACGTGAAACTCATTTCAGGGCCCATAAGGAAATCTACAAGGTATTTTTGTGTTTATCTCCTTTTATTTGGCAAGAATATCTATATATTAGGCATTAAATTGTTACACTAGTTAAAATTCACAACTATGAATACCTTTTTGTTATCTGCAAAACTATATTTTAATTGTGAAAGTTAGAACACATGTTGTGACAAGATGAAAACTTCCTGTTAGATAAGTGCCCATTTCATCTTCCCTTCTTGAAGCCTGTGTTTTCATTAACTTGTTGTTGTTGTTGTTGTGTGTCACTCTTAGTGACCCTGTGAACAACAGTCAGAACCTCGCCTTCCCTGGCACCATCCTCGTGGCTTTCCGCATGCTCGAGCCAGTTGTAGAGTGACCGCGTCGGTCCATCTTACTGACTTACATAGGAATGAATTCCACTCTGAGACCTGCAACATTCGTGTGTCTTTGTTGAGATTGTGACTCTTTCTACACCAGATGCATATGAGAGCTTAGAATTAAACTCACAGCTGGTGGGGAAATAGTTGAAAGAAACTATCTTTTTCCTTAGTCTCATTGTAGCACACCACCTGAACAAAGCTGCCTAATTATTCCAACCTAATGTTTAAAAAAATACTGTGAACTATAAGTAAAGGTAAAAATCCAAGAATGTTGATGAGCACTTAACCATTTGTGTTTTCAATTCGTTCAGGCTATAGACTTGTATCCCACACAGAAAGACAAGAATGTGAGCTTAAAGTCATGCCTGAAGCTGCTCCTTCTGCACTTTATTGCATGACTTTAACTAAGCCAAGTGCAGTTACATCAGCTGGAGATTGTTCAAGATGACATAGATTGTTTTTCAAGTTAAGCAGTTTTTAAAAAGAAAAGTCATGGTCATTTGTACTGTTTTCTCTTATGATTAAAAATAAAAAGGATTTTCTTCCCCTCTTTCAGTATGGATTCCGGTTCTTCAGAAAGTCCTGCAACTCTGAAGAGAGTGGCTTCTCCGGCAGCCAAGCCGGCCATGACGGGAGAAGGTCAGTCAGACTTCCTTCTTTACAAGGGCCAAGGATACAGCGAATTACCATTAACACTTAGAATGAGATTGACTTTCATTTTAAAGTGAAAATGCTCAGTGTGTTAATAAGATTTAGCCAGCTACAAAATCAAGGTACTGCATGGAGATTTTCAACATGCCATCCAATATCTTCATCTTCAATTTTCTAATGAATGATGAATTTTCTAATTGTGCTTGATTATGAAGATCCCTTACTTTTTCAAACCTTTGGCTTTAATAAAGAGATAGTTTTCTGAGTATTTAAGCTGTATCTAAATTTTGTTCATTGCAAATCTTAATGTAGTCTTTGTTTTAGATTATTACTTTGTTTTTAAAAAATATTCCCACAGTCTGAGTTCTCACATATTAATGTCATTTATAAACACTTAATGAAATAGAGGCCTAATTTCCATCTTTCATTTAAGTAAATAAACCAAACAATATAGGCCTAAACAAAAACTCATGATTTCTGAATCTTTGTGAAAAAAATCATAACTGTTATAAAAATGCCAGTGTATTTGTATTGACTGTTGTTGTTGTTGTTATGTACCATACATTTGGAACCAACCCATAGCTGACCCTCCAGCAGATTTTCAGAGGCAGTCAATCACACAGGAGGAGATTACTCATTCTTCTCCTGTGGAGCAGCTGGTGGCCTCAAACCTCATGCCTTCAGGATTGCAGCTTCTTGCCACTAGCCCATTAGAGCTCCCTTATTGGCTATGAATGAACAATATCTCTAGAGTCCAGGCTGTAATAGTATAAATTTCCTATCTTTTCTGTGTGCAGTACAATAATTTACCGTGGTCCTAATTGAAGAGTCTAAACTATGATTTCGATGTGGAATTCTGAGCAGTACTTGTAGCTAATATTTCTCATCGCTAACCAGTGGTAGAGTAATTTTTCATAGGTTCTTTGAATAAATTTCTTGAGGCTCAGCTGTTTTATTTCATTTTCTATCATGAGATTATTGCTGTCAAGGGAAACATTACCTTATCAAAATAAAATGTTAAAAACAATTTTTTCTATGGAATAGAATAATAATTTTTAATGGATTTTAAAGACTCACATTAACGAAGTAACTTTGTTAAGAAATGTAGATATAAAACTTTTTAAACACTGAACAAATTCAGCATTTATTCTGTCCAGGTTTTACCATCATTAGCATTGCTCTTGGAATGCATTCTCATATTTTAGTGCACTTTTTTTGCCCACTGTTAACAAGACAAACAGCTTCATCTCAGGACTGAAAGTCAGTCCAATATAAAGCAAATTCCATCTTCATTCAGATTGAGGGGTATAATCATTCAGGTGTCATTGGAGGACTGGACTCTGTGTCTAAACTCTCACTAAGGAACCGTCTGATTTGGTCATACCTTAACTTCCTCATCTGTGAAGTCTGCATAGCCACCCTCTGACCTTGGAAATTCCTGCACGATTAAGAGATAATAGTGCAGAGCTTTTAGAACAAAGCTTAGTGAATGTCAGCTGCTTTCGTTTCTCTTTCCAATTGTTTCCTGGATTATTGATAGAGCCACTTAGAGCAGTGAACATTTTCATCACATGGCATGGATGTTGATTTGTTTTGAAAAGTGTACTGTGGTCTTGAATTTTTAGGGCCTCATAAACAGTTTAGAAATGAACCACATACGTACTTAATTTTAGGAGGATGGAATAAATTTTAATCTTAATTGACATTTATTGCATCCATTCTGAGTGATTATAAAAACATTAGCAGAGTCTACTGGTGTTATGGAGAGCTGAGAATAGACATGGGTGTTTAAAGTGCACAGAAAGCTATACTTATTACTGAACCACTTGTTAATACTACTATCTCAAAAAGAATCAAGTTTAATGTGAACTATGAGCTAGATTAATTAGATCGGGTAGCTTTTAAAATCTTGGTTTGTGTAAGGCTGGTGCCCTCTGACAAAGTTCTTATGCACAGTGCGTAACAGATGAGGGTGCCACTTTATGCCCTTCACCATGTCTCCTCAGTTTTCTTGAATCTGAAGGCAGCCTCACAGATGCCTATGTGTCATGCGGCCTCAGGAAGCTTCAGAGAGCTCTCCCCTCCGCTTTGTGTTTTGTGCTGCAATATCAAGTTCAACCAGAGTTCATGTTTCTGAAGTTTCTTAAGCATTTTTTTAGTTACTTAAAAATGTGGATTCAATTTCTTTTTTAAAAAAAAAAAGACAATTTTCAAATGTGAAACTCACTGAGGAAAGTTTGGTTGTCAAGGATCCCACCTTCAGTAGCCAAATAGGAGATGTAGCGTGAGGAGCAGTAACAGGGAGCAGAACAAAAGAACACTCAGAATGTTGGGAAACCAGTGGGATAAGCACGTGCATGAGGAAAGAAGGCTCGTAGTAAAGCCACTAAAATTTCATTTTCTTGTGTGGGAAATCTTTTCCTGATTTTCAGTCTCGAGGTATGCATTAGCATGTTAGCAAGATAGAGACCCAGTGTTTTGAGTCTCTCCATGGTGTCGATGGCCTCTATCTGCTGTGGGGCCCAGGCTTTCCCACCATGTGCAGCCCAGCACAGCTGACACTGAAGGAGAGCCCTGGGGAGTCTCTGGAAACTGGTCCACAACAAAAGTCTCCTTAGCATGAGAATTAGCTCTGTGTGTGTTTGTGTGTTGTATGTGTTTCATTTTTTTCATTATTGGCTACTGCACAATCTCTCTTAACTAGCCAGGATTTTTCTACACTGACTGTCCCATTCACATTAGACTATATGTTTAAGTAAAAGCATCTGGATTTTTAGCAATAAGCACACATCATCAATTATAAAAATTATATTTAGGGTTATTTTTGTGTACAGTAGAATCAAAACTGACCCATAGTTGACACTCTGGCAGGTTTTCAGAGGCCGTTAATGGCATGGGAGGAGATTACCCATCCTTTCCCCTCATATGTAGGGTAAATGTTAATGTGTCTATTGCTTTTTGAAACAAAGGTTTAGGATGAGATGGAAAGAGATTAGAGGCTAAGAAATTTGTGTTCACCTTTTTGTGGTTGTACATCTAGTGTAGTGCACGGGATTTTGTATTTACTGATCTTTCTGAGAGTCTGACCTCTCTCTACACCTTAGTCATATCAACTGAGAAGTAGATAAGAACTCTACTCTTGAGTAACAAGAAAAATTTCTTCTGAAATGCACACCCTCAAACTCAGGACTCTGAAGAAGCTCTCATTCTTTAAGTTAAAGAAGTACTAGCATATGAAACTACAACTTGTCCTTTATCATCTTGCAAAAAGAGGCTTAATCGTTTGCTGGGGTTTGGTAGACACTGCTTCTAGCATTAACCCTCTGTAACTGTTTATGCACTTGACTGATAAGCAGATGCCCATTTTTAACTGAAAAGTATGTTGGGGTTTTTCTTCACTTTGTATCCTAACAGTTTGCTGCCAGCTCTGTATATGATACAGTAGACATAAATTTTTATGCAGATGGTTGAGTAATAAAAATTGCATCTCAGTGTCTAAGTTATGTAAAGGGTATATTGACAGATTTTCTAAAATTGTGACTTGATTGTGAGGAATCAAAAGTGAAATGCTTGAGAACTACTAGAAGCCTGATTATAACTGCATCTAAGCCAGTATGAAACTCAAAGTAAAGATTCCGTAAAATTAGTTAAAACTACATTAAAAGCCCTTTTTACTTAAAAAGAAATCATGACATTAAATTGGGGATCACCTTTGGTACCCACTCTTGAGAAGTTGGGGTTTTGTTCCTATGGCTGGGTTCTTTGCACAGATTTCCTCCCTGCCTGAATTTTTATGAGCACTTGGGAATTTGGAGCCCTGGATAACCCTATAACTTTGTATTTTATCTATGACTAGCCTTTTTCTTGGATGACTCCTTAGTCTAACTTCCTTACTCATAAACTTGCTTTTTTGCAAATCTGTCTGGGATTTCTTTAAACAATCAAGCTCTCTCCGTATCTCAATATTTCTCCCCACCAGAATTTATTGCCATGTACACTTACGAGAGTTCTGAGCAAGGAGATTTAACCTTTCAGCAAGGGGATGTGATTTTGGTTACCAAGAAAGATGGTGACTGGTGGACAGGAACAGTGGGCGACAAATCCGGCGTCTTCCCTTCTAACTATGTGAGGCTTAAAGATTCAGAGGTAAACCCACATTAACTGTTTCCTCTCCCTTTCTGTTACTGATTCTCTTTGTGGGGAGTCACCATGTTTGACAGTGAAAAATTGATTGGGTTTTGCTAAGTTCCAGAAACATGATGGAAAATGTAGTGTAATAATTATTTCAACTTGTCTTTCAGTGTTGTAGGATGAGCCTAGGCTCCCACAAACCAAAGAATTCGAAGTGCTCTGTGGAAGTTAGAGTGCTCAGTATTCATTTCAATTCCTACACATAATTGACTTTTGATTTAGAACAAACATTATGCATTAGATCTTCTTGGTTATTGATTTTTAGATGCCTCAGAAATATTCACAACAATATTTTGCCCTGCAAAGCTGAACTGTTCTAGTGATATTGGACAATAAAGAGTTTCCATTGTCTCTGTATTTATGTACACAGCAAGAAGGCCCAAGATCTAAGGGACTGGCATATGTTTGGCTGAGCTGTAGTATTGCCATTGATTAGTGACTGAATTTATTTTAAATATTGTTAGCCTTATACATTTTAAAAGTAGCTCCTATTATTGTTATGTGGACCCTAAAAATGTGATTATTCCAAGTGCACTGTGTGATACCACAAGTCAGTGAAGTGTGAGGTGAGTTTGCCACAGCAAAGAATGGGAGCACCTTCTTTAATTTCAGCTTCAAGTCAGGGTTTCATTATCATCATGCACATTCAACACACACACAAAAGAAAAAGCAGGGATTGACTTTTTTTTTTTAATGTAATTGGTCAATTCAGTTATTTTTTTCTTTGTACCTCCTAGACATAGAGAGAAAAGGCTAATAAAGAGCCTTAAGAGGCTACTTTCCGGGGAGCTCTGGTGGCCTAGTGGCAAGAAGCTGTACTGCAATCCCAGAGGTGCGCGGTTCAAATCCACCAGATGTGCTCTGCCAGAGAAGGAGGGAAAATTTCCCTCCTGTACCAGTCAGATCTGATTTGACGGTACACGCACAATAAATAAATAAATAAAAATTTTTAAAAAAAGAGGCTACTTTCTCTTAGATTTAAGAGCATGTACAAAACTCTCCCTTGTTTACATACTGCTGCTGGTGGTGGCGGTGGTGGTAGGTGCCGTCCAGTCTGCTCTGACTCATAGTGACCCTGTGTACACCACTGTCCAGTCCTGTGCCATCCTCAGAACTGTTGCTGTATTTGAGCCCCCTGATGCAGCCAGTGTGTCAGTCCATGTTGTCTTTATCTTTAAATGCCAGTAGGAGAGTGTAAACTGTTGGTGATGCAATGGTTAAAACTCTTGGTTGCTTACTGAAAGAAAAGCAGTCAGAGTCTCCCCAGCAGCCCTGCAGGAGAGCTGTCTGGTTATCTGCTCCTGTAAAGATTATAGCCTAGGAAATTCTTTGGGACAGTTCTGTTCAGTCCCACAGGGTCACTGTGAGTCAGAATTGACTCCAAGACACCTAGCAACAACAGGAGGGTCTTGGATCTTCTGCTGGTTCTTTGCGGGGCAAGGTTGGACCTTCCGTATGTTTTAATAATTCTACCTTCAGCCTTCTTCCCGTTCCTGTAGCTCTCAGGAATGGATTACTTGGTTGGATTTTTATTTTGGGGTGTTTATTTTAAAGAGTGTTATTCATTGTTGGTTTTGTGTATTGTTTATTTTTGGGATTTGTTGTTTTGGATGTTTTATTTGTTTTTCCCATCAATCTTTAATCTTGTGAGCTGAAATACCTTTTGGGGGATTTGTACAAGATGCGAGCCCTTGGAGAATTTGACAGAAATCAGGAATAAAGTTCTTATACCTTGCAAGCATTTTGTGCTCTACCAAGAGAGACAGAATTAAACCCTTTTCCAGGCCCACATGTGGGATTCAGTAAGAATTAGACAGTATTTCAAGAAATTTGAGGAAAAACACGAAGATTATAAACTTGACTTTTACTACCTTGCATGAAAACTCTTAAAGACATCTTTTTGCATTAGTTGAAACACAAACACCGTTACTTGAAATGTAATGTTATCAACTATAGTTTTCAATAAGAAATGATCTAAAGTCAAGAAGCTAAAAAGATATATTTCTTTTTTTTTACTCTGCCATTAAAGTGAGCTGAATTGTAAGGTACTTTTTAGACCACGTTTTAAATTACTAGTCATAAAATTCTTAGACATTTAAGACCTTTAGCCACATTTTTTAGTAACAGTGAAAAATCAAAATCTTCTCCTCCTGTACCAGTCAGATCCGATTTGACGGTACACACACAAAATGTAATAAAAATTAAAAATTTTAAAAAAATCTAATGAGTTAGCTCTTTCATCCACTCTGGACGTGTCCTCCCCCCGTACCATGGTGAAAAGCCAGCTCCATCCTCAGTAGCCAACTTGTTCATCCTTGCTCCCCACTCTGAATGAGAAAGTGGGGCACAAAGACTGGGGAGCATTTCTGCAGCATTCTTGAGATACATCCAGGATTGAACCTGCCCTTTCCACCAGCTTACAAGCCTGGTGTGAGATTTCAAAGGAAGCAAGCCCAAGCTTCTTAAAATCTGTTATTGAGTATTGTCAATGGCTTTGTTTCTTTTATTTTAAAAGAATGTAAGGCAGTATAAGCCTGTTGCTGGAATCTTGTTTGATTGGTCTCCTTTAATTTGATATTTATCCAATAAAAATACTGATACATTGTTATTATATCACTCTTTACTGATAAATAAAGCACAATCAGTAAAAAATTAAATCCATATTTTTCCTCGTACATAGTTAAATGTCAATAGCCAAAATAAAGAATCTTTGAGACATTGTGTCCCTGGTAGACAGTTATAGATACTTAAATCTGCAGTAACTCTTTTTTTTTTAAATGTTATTTTATTTTATTATTATTTTTGTGTGTCTGTGTACCGTCAAATCAGATCTGACTGGTACAGGAGGAGATTTGTCCCTCCTTTCCCGGCAGAGCATCTGGTGGATTCGAATCATGGACCTCTGGGATTGCAGTGCAGCTTCTTGCCACTAGGCCACCAGAGCTCCCCTAAATCTGCAGTAACTCTTAATGAGTTTCTTAAACTTTTTCTTTTTGTTGTGTTTTAATTGGAATACCTAATCTACTGTGAGATAGGGACTCAAGGATGAAAATACACTCTGAATAAAGCAATTTGTAACAACAGATTATTGTCTGGCTCCTGTCCTGACTCTCGTGGTCTCTGTTGGCTTACTCAGCCAGTTTACAATTCTATGAATATCCATGAAAGGAATTCAACCGTAGGCACTTCTGGAAGACTTATTATTTGGACAGAAATATGCCTGCTCCCATGAGTTGTGCTTTAAGCACCAATAGAGAAGTTTCAGTGTCTGAAACTGTGAAAATGTGGGGAAAGCCTGGCTCTTGGTAGAGGTGGATAAATAGGACCTGAGGCAGACGGAGGTTGAAAGCATACTGTTTTAGCCCTTTACAGAACAAAGCTGTAAAGCAGATGTAGCAAATTATTAATACATTCATATTAATACATTCAATCTGAATGATGAGCTCTTGAATATCTATTATTATTCTCTGTATTTTTAAAGTGTGAACTCTCTTGTAATGACCAGTTAGACTATAAAGAGCAAGCTCAATATTTAGGGTGTACACAATTGATCTCTATCCCATGCAGCCCCTTACTTGAGGTGGCCCAGGTGCCTATAGAATGCACCTGTGTCACACTCAGTTATCACCTGGCAGAGCCCTGGGATGTTGCAGTCCTGTATTTTGTTCTTTAAAGGTCATGTGTTTTAAATTGCTTATTTTGTCCTGTGTCTTCCTGATGTATATCCTAATGTATGGTGACACGGTGCTGTTGTGCTTCCCCAGAGTGAAAATGGGGACTTAGGGACTCAGGATGGTTTATATCGTCATTAATCGTTTCTTAAATTGCATGACCAAAACTATTCAGTATGCAAATGAGACCTTTTGCTCTGTTTTAAGGGCTCTGGAACTGCTGGGAAAACAGGGAGTTTAGGAAAAAAACCTGGTAAGTTACAAAACCTGATGCTTATTTTTCAATGTTTTGATTGTAATTGATAGTTCTCCCAATCTTTGTTTTTTAGGGCCAGGAGCCTAAAATAAAAACAAAAGCATGAATCTTTCCCTGGGAGTCCATTAATAATGTATCCATGGCTATAAAACTTGGCTGTTGTTTCATCCATGAGGGGTGGGAATGTTAGTGGGCAGAATGTTCTCTTGGGTTGTAAAGAATTAATCCAGGCAAAATGGCAGGAAATAACAAGGCATGCATCTGGAAAGTTGGGGAATCCACTGCTTCCCACTCACCCTCCTTGTGTCTTGGGAATCCTTTTTCATTTCTTGATGACACAGTGAGTCTCAGGACACACACAGTGGAGGAGTCTTGAGACATTACAGAATGAAAGTCTAGGGCAGATCCGGTTCATTTAGGAGCCATTGGGTGCTTTTCCTCAGGTACCTATTGAAGGTAAGAAATTATAATCATCCTTCTGGATTCCAAGTGTGGCTGTTTATTTAAACAGAATCACATGTTCTATAAATAGGAGCGCAAAAGAGGGGAGAAAGAAGCAGATGTGAAATAATATGGTTGTCTGGTGCGTCTTCCTCCTCTAGGTCATTTGGGCTTTTTTGCTACGAGGTACTTAGGAGATTTTATGTTAAAAAAGGCCCTGCTTGTGTAGAGGCTGGGCCTGGTGCTCAGCTCCCTTTAAAGGGGCTTCCCTGACAAACACAAATAGGTTTGCAGGTGTGTTTGGATTTTAGTCAAACTCAGAAGTTAGACTGTCTAGATTAAATCTGTTCTAACCATGAGTCTTATTGAATGTTTAGAGGCCTGTAATTCCAAAGGGCCCAGGTATTTCACATATGGTGCCCAGATCGGCTTTAACATTGTACTGAAAACCCGCAAGCTACTCAGGGGCACAAAAGACAGAGAAGAATGTTGTGGCAGATTGCTGGCTGCGGATGCCAGGTACTTTACAGAGCCAAGAATATATGAAGCCAAATAGGACACTAGTTTGGACTTCTTCATGCTGAAAACTCGGAATCCAGAGCGGTTCCTTGGCATGTTGGAATAGAAGTTTTCTCCCCACACTGATTGCCTTGCTAATGCCTTAGAGCCAAGTATATGTAACTTGGGCTTTCTCTTGCTTCCAAGCTCTCAGAACGTCAGACAGAGCTAGTTCTGCACCGTGACAGCTTGGCCACCTGTCATGATGTCCAGTCCCTGATTGCAGGACAGAATAATGAGGGTTTGCTTGCATCTCATTTTGCTTCCTGAGTTAATGGAGTAGTAGAAAGTATGGGGGTGGCTAGGTGCTCCTTCCCTGTCTCTCTCCCTCTCCCCCCCACAGTCTTCCCTTCCTTTCAGGAGCTCTTATTAAGGGTGGGTACAGAGGAGTAGAACAGTCTGCTCTGCATTGCTTCTAGAACTTCAGAAGGCTCTCGCCATAGAGGGGCCCAAGTTCAGTTGGAGAGTTTGCCTTTTCATTCTCACACTCCTTTGGAAAAATTTACTTTTCAGAGCCCAGCCCGTGATACTGCTGGAGTTTACCCCATACTATTCTTAACATTCAGGAAAAATATGGAACTGTTCACACTTTTTTGCACTGAATTGTTTTTGCGTAAAATATTCCTTCTTAACTCTAGAATCTTCCTTACCTTGAAATAGCAAGAAGTAAACTTGCACTGACATGATTCATACCTGATATTCAGGGATCGGCCTCAAAATGTGAGTGCCAGAGAATATGAACAGGTTGGTGGAGGTGAACGCTTATGGCAGTAATTTGTCAGCCAGAATCAGAAAAAAATAATGTCTTTCTACTATACCAGACATGTGGAAGAGCGTTGCTTGAGTTTCCTTAACTTTATTAGCTCCATCCTTGAAAAGGCTCCTTACTGTGTGCAGACCTTGTACCAGGGGGAGGGGTCGAGGTGGCAACTAGGCCAAGAGTTCATGGAGCTCGTGAGCAGCATTGTGAGCAAAGGTGCCGGAAGTGAGGTGAGGTGGAAGCAGTCATGGAGGGAAGTTGGTAAGTAATTGTTGATGAGTCCCAAGAGCCTCCTAAAACTGGACCCGGGACAGAAACCAAAGGTCACCAACCCCTTGAGTGCCGTGTTTGCATTGTAGCTCATGGAATGGAATACAATGAGCCTAATTTATCTCATAGGAAACCAGCCAGGCGTTGTTTTTAATGAAGTTTGTGAACCTAGGAAGTAGCTGTGTCTTCTGAGAATTCTCTTCTCATGACTATAACTGTGTATTGCAATGTGTGGTTTTGTTTTTCAGAAATTGCCCAGGTTATTGCCTCATACACCGCTACTGGCCCAGAGCAGCTTACCCTGGCCCCTGGTCAACTGATTTTGATCCGGAAAAAGAATCCAGGTGGATGGTGGGAAGGAGAACTGCAAGTTAGTTTCGTTTCCATTTGTGTATACTTCTCTGTCCAAGTTTGAATGTGCAAAATCCCAAAGGGACACCAAAAATGATAAAAATCCCTTGCTGCCTGAATCTTAGACTAATGAGAGGTGGTGTGCTGTCTGAGTATGTTGCATGCCTGAGCTTTGGATTACCAGTCACAGAATCCTGAGAGAACTGGGGATTCATCTAGAAAGATATCCAAATCTATTTGATTCCTGAATTTGACCTCTGAGTTGGGAATAGCGAGGATTCCCATGACAAGGAACACCCAGGGACATGTCTGTAGGATGTGGCACGCTGGGAATGGTAGTGCTGTGGCTGCTTTCTTTACTTTTCAAGTCACATCTGTACCACACTGTACTTTCAGTTCCCCTGTTTTCTGGGGTTGCTATATACAGGTCTGTATTGATTCCTCTTGTTATGATACTGCCTTGCTACTCATTTACCCTTCTGGATAGCCTTTATAAGTCTCTTTTCCAGAGACAACAGTGCTTAAAAGGCTACTGTGATCCAGTAAAACCTATGCAAGCTGGAATCTTAAGGTTAAGACCTGCCAGATCAAGAAAACTCAGATATTGTCCTCTCATAGAAAGTGATAGATAAGGGGCAAGAAAATTGTCCAAGGTGGAAAACTTGTGAGACCTGGAAAAACAAGGCCATCCCATCATTCCAGCTCTGAAAGGTTTCATTGTACAAATATGATGCAAAACTTGTTAGAAACATCAATGGATGCCAAATCTAAGGAACATTTTTACATTTTTTTAAAATGAATCTTGTAGGCTTTACCCATTGAGCCCTTTATTTTAAGTGGCATACTTTAGTATTCATGTAATTTTAGTGGCAGTGACACTGCTTGTAATAGTGTCTCCAGTCCTCAGAATGAATTTCTTTCCCTTCTGTTCTATTCTGTTCTTGGCTGGAGTAGGAGGCATCACCTGGAGTAGAGCTAACCATGACATGTCCCCTGGGAAACCCATCTAGAAGTACCGATCATACACAGCTTACTGGTGCAGGGACCTGACCATGAGAATCCTGCAGATCCACTCTACCTGTGTGTCTGTCCTTGTGCTGGTTAGGAATAGGGATCCCTTACACTAGTGGCTCCTGTGCCCTGTTGCCTAATAGGCCTCTGGTCCCTATGTCACTCTCCTATTTTGAAGACCTAGGAGACTCCCATTGGACACTTGCTACAGATAGCCCTCTGTACCCCTCTCAATTTGTCTTATCACTCTTAACTCCTTACACTGGTTGATTTACTCTCTGTAAAAAAAAAAAAAAAAGCAGCAAGCAACCCCTGTGCCCTCTCCTGCCTTGCCGCTCTCTTGTTCTTCACGTCTCTAAGGGGCCAACCATCACCTGTCTCTGATTCCTGAAGAGCTGGTTAAACCCCACTAGTACAGTGACTTTCTCTGACTATCCACCCAGAAGCTGTCTAAATTAAAAAACTCTAACTCACTGCTGTCGAATTGGAACAGACCCATCATTGACACCCTCCAGCAAGTTTTCAGAGGCTATAAATTGCACAGAAGGCGCTTGCCCGTCATTCTCCTGAGAAACCATTGCTAGATTAGGAACACCAAAGAGGTGCCACCTTTGGGTAGGCAGCGCACCTCCCCCAGCCCACAAGACCACCAGAACACCTTCCTTGTAAACAGAGACCATATTTTTTGGTTCTCAACAAAAAAAGTCTGTCCTGGAGAGGGTGAAACTAGGTTGCTTCCTGGAGGCAAGAATTCTGAAGCTCTGTGTGACATACTTTGGGCATAATGCCAGGAGGGACTGGTCCTTGGAGAAGGACATCATGTTTGAAGGGGTGGAGGGACAGCATAGGAGAGGAAGACCCTGGATGAGATGGATTTACACAGTAACTGGGGTTATAGGGGTAGGTGTGTCGGAATCAGTGAGACTGACCCAGAATAGGGCAGAGATCAGAGCATATGTTCCCTAAGAGTCACAGTTGACATAACAACATATTCCTAGTCTTTCTCAAATAATTTTGGTTGGAGTTTGTGATTTACAATAAAGTGGCTGAAATACGAAAGTTGGGAAGTCTTCTAGTGCTTTCACAAAAGGGCCTCTCTCACCAGATACATGCATGAAGGAATTACCAGCAGCTCATGTGTCTTGCCCATGTACAGCTAAAGAGTGGGAGTCATAGCAAGGCCATTGTGAGCACATGGAATCAGACTAGGAAGGCAAACGTGAGAATTGTTAAGAGAATGGGTTCAAGTGTTGATGAATTCTTTCCAGTCCAAAAGTCACAAAAAGGGATACAGGTATTTCCCCCTCCCACCCCTATCCCCAAGGCACCCATTTACCCAGTTCTTAAAGGCTATTTCATATTCCTAGAACAGCCTTGTTCCTAGAACTGCTTGCTCTTGTCTCTCTCAGCTTTCCAGATTTGAGTTTCTCCAAAACAGGACTGTGTGACATGCTGTCCCTCTCCAATAGTACTTGGCTCATAATTTCACAGTGAATAGATCTTAATGGTGGTAAGGAATTATGCTGTCCACACAAAAGCAGGCAGTTAGAATCCACCAGCTGCGCCATGGGGCAAATATGAGCAGTCTCCTCTCATGTGATTTATAGCCTCTGAGATCTCACTGGAGCATGAGTCAGTTATGACACAATGTTACAACAACAAATGATAACAACAAAGGAGAAAGAAGTGGCAGTGAGAAAGATGGGTCTTGCCACTGTATATTATGATTGGTTTTGAAAGTAAGATGCAAGTTAGAGTGCTTGTATTCTGTATTTTACTGCATACGTATTATCTGGCATCTAAAGTTATGTATTATTCATGCATTAACCTTACGAGAGGGTGCAGGCATGGTTGCGAATCTTGGCCTCTTACCAATAACCTGATAGTGAGACTGTCACTTAACCTTTTGACCTCACATTCTTCACCTGGAAAAACTGAAATATTAATAGTAGAGTCTTTCTGGAATCATTGCTCAAATAAATGCAAGTGACGTGTTTTGCTCAGGGCCTGCCTTGAGGTACTCAATGTTAGCTGCTATGATTATTATTAGTCCTAATATCCCTTGACTGGGAGCTCTGGTAGTGCCTAGTTGGCACTACCAACCCAAAGGCAGGCAGTTTCAATCTCCCCACTGCTCCACGGGAGACAGATGGGCACTCTCCTCCCATGTGATTAACAATCTCTGAAAACCCACCGGAGGATCAGCTGTGAGTCATTCTGCCTCGGTGGCAATGAGTCGAGTTTTAAAATCCTCTCATAGCTGAGAGCTAATGTTACATGAGCAGGAGTTTTCTATCCTGGATACCCTGCATATATCCTAAATTTGTGATGATCATGACTCAGCTGATCCAAAACCCTTCAAGATTTTCCAATCAGTCCTGCCACTACATGAATTTAAGCTACAGTATTTTATTTTTGAAATTTAGTAATCCATGGATTCTAATACTAATGCCATTTGGTTTCTGGTTAATATGCATACTTTGGGAAAATACTGTGTTAGGAAGCAAACTGAATCTGTATGCAAGTATATGTAACTGTGTGCAAGAACTTTGACCTTCTTAAAATTTCCAATACAATTATTATCTTACTAGGCACGTGGAAAGAAGCGCCAGATAGGCTGGTTCCCAGCAAATTATGTAAAACTTTTAAGCCCTGGGACAAGCAAAATTACTCCAACAGAGCCACCAAAGTCCATGGCACTCCCTGCAGGTACGTAGTTCACAGCTTCGAATTGGAAAATATACATGCCACTGTAGTCTTCCCACTCAGTTTCCTCATGAACTGTCTTCAGTTGTTGTTCTCATCTGTTTTAAGCACTTTTTGTCATTGCTAAAACTGACATCCAATTACTGTGGTACACAATATGTTTTTCAAAAGGACCAAATATCTAAGTAGCTTTACTGTGCTGGGCACAAGAGAGCCCTTGTTGGGACTCGATTCTTAAAGAAGTCATGAATGGCATGACATTAAAGCCTGATTTTTCTCTTGATTTCTTTCCAGCCATTTAAATTGAGATTTGGGCTAGGAGTTGAAGGGACAGAGGATAGTCCTAAAAATAAGTGGCAGAGGTCTAGTAGGTCAGGAGATTGAGCTGAAGGCCACAGGCGCCTGCTGGTACTGGTGTGATGTTCACTGAAGACTGAAATAACTCCCTACGATGTTTGCTGGGAGCAGAGAGGGTTTAGTTAATGGACAGGATTTTTACACACTTTTTTCCTAAAAGGATGAAAAGAACAGAGAATACTACTGCTCATATGGCTGTTTGCCGATAAAATAGATCCCATTAGATGCTTCTATAATAATAAAGAGAGGTGAAGTTAGAGGAGCAGAACTCTGCTTTATGTCATTAAGCTATCAGTTTTTGCGTGGCATTTGTGGAAAATGTTTGCTCTGTGCACCTTGTGGTTAAATGCCTTTGCTGTGCACTTTCTGTAAAATAAAATGAAAACTTGGCAGGCTTTTGTGAGAACTGAAAAGATTGGTGAATTTTCTAACCCCAGCTGGGCCTCTTGTGCCTTGAGAGGACAGAGGATTATAGTGCTGCTGGTCTCTCCTGCTGCTGGCTTCCCTCCCCAAGAAATACATTGCTGGCATGATCTGATCAACCTAAACTTCAGTTGGGAGCTTGGGTGGCCTCATGGTGAGAAACTGCATAACAATCTTGAAGGCACACGGTTCAAATCCACTAGCTACTCTACGGAAGAAGGATGGACAGTCTTCCTCTTGCGCAGTTAAAGTGCCTCTGAAAGCTCACTGGAGGGTCAGCTGTGGGTCAGTTCTGACTCGATGGTACACAACAGCAACAATAAACTTCAGTTAGAAGAATTAACTAGCAGCTACAGTCTGATGTACAGATTTCTCTGAAATATACCCAAGGAATGAGAACATTTCTTGGGAGAGAGTAGTCGTTCAGTGGTAGAGTTCTCACCTTCCATGTGGGCACACAGCTTGGATTCCAGCCAATGCACCTCAGTCAGTCACTGGAGGCTTGGGTGCCACCGGGTGCTGAATATGTTTCAGTGGAGTACCCAAAGTCAGAGAAAGACTTAGCCTGAAAGGCCTGGCAGTCTGCTTTTGAAAATCAGCCAGTGAAAGCTATGAATCATCAGTGTCCGGTTCTCACCTGATTATGGAGATGGCCAAGGACAAGGAAGTGCTGGAGCCGACTCAGTGACAACGAACAACAGGAGGTTTGAGATAAAATGAGAAAAGATTGTTTTTGATTACAAGTATTTCTTGCTTTAAGACATAAAGATAAAGTGGAGCTCCTTTAAAACACTGATTCTACTTTTTACAGCATGAGTTTTTTGGAAGTCAGATGATAACCAGCTTCTACCTTAAAAAAAGAAAAAATGTGTAGTATAGTCCCCATGATGCACAGCTGTCCCACACAGCAGGGAACGAGGGCGTCAGCAATGTGGAGGAGTCCCACTGCACTAAATTGAAATGAGTCTGTGAAAGCATTCACATTATTTCTTGAAATATTTTGCTGACAAGTAAACATGGAAAGGAGGATGATAATATATGAACTAAAAGATGATGTAGAGATTTTGCTGTTGTCTTCATTTTTGGTCCTCCTTCTTCCTCTATTACCATACCATAAAAAATGCCCCCATTTAGAGCAGTGCCACTCCATTTTACCCTATTTTGAAAGAACAGGAGGGGAATCTCCCTGTCCTCTCAGATCTGCAAATAAAGTGCTGTGGAGATTGGGGTGGGGGAAGGAAAGAGCACACTAATACTAGACTCTCTAATACTCCCATTTACCTGCCCCACGTGCTGCAGTGGACATGCAGCTGCTCACCCAGCCTCTCTCCCGCAGTGTGCCAGGTGATCGGGATGTATGACTACACCGCACAGAACGATGACGAGCTGGCCTTCAACAAGGGCCAGATCATCAACGTCCTCAACAAGGAGGACCCTGACTGGTGGAAAGGAGAAGTCAATGGACAAGTGGGACTCTTCCCATCCAATTATGTGAAGCTGACCACAGACATGGACCCCAGCCAGCAATGTAAGTGCCTGGCGGCTCTGCTACCGCCCCTCTCTGGTATCTAAGTAAAACATGCAGCATTGCTCTGATTCTGCGAGCTTTGTTTGCAGAACTTAAAGCTAGACATTGCTGCATTCGCAACAGTCTCTTTGAAGACCTTCTGTAGTGCAAGACTTTATCTTGTGGGGTTATTTCTTTTTTATTTTCATTCCTTCTGTAGCATGCCCCCTCCCCTCTCCCCTCTTTCTCCTTTTCTTTTTTTTTTTTTTAAATCATTTTGGCACCATGCTGTTTACATGCCTGACTCATTTTCCTAGCTTGAATTTTGCTCATTGTTTTGTTTTGCTTATGTGTTGTTTTCCTCCTTTTTCTAGGAATCATATGTTGTCCATCCCCCACTCAGGCTTGAAAGTCCTCAAAGAGACCCACTATCCCATATCACTGCCCAGAGGGATGATGGGAGATGCAGCCTTGATCATGTGACTTCCAGCATGATCATCTACTGCCTTCTGAGTAGAAGAACTCACTGCAGAGCAGTTTACCTCATTTTACCTTAGTTGCATGCGATCGCAATGTTTGAGTTATTACTTGCAGAGATAGAAGCAAAAATTACAAAAATACACAGGGTAGTGGGTCCTTTTGTGGCTTTCCTTGTGACTCAAATTGATTCCCCCCACCTTTGCACAGGTGCTTTTAATAGTTTGAAAATTCTTTTTAAACACATGTATTTTAGCCTTTTAATAAAAAAAAAAAAGAAAGGAAATCACTTCTTTGCTATTTTGGTTTTGCAAAAAGACCCACTATCAAGGAATGCTGCATGTGCTATTAAAAATGTTCCAAATGTCCATAAATCTGAGACTGTGTAATTTTCATTTTGTCCAGTGTTACCAACTAAATTGTGTAGTTTGGGTTTCCCCCCTAACTCTAGAAGTGCAGAAGAGTTCAATATATCTGTTTTAAAGATGTGTAGAATGAGCCCAATTAAACAGAAGCTATTTTGTGCTTGTTTGTGTGTATCAGATGTAATTTGGTGAGCATGTAATACATCCTGTACATAAGAAATTAGTTCTCTTCATGGCAAAATGTGTATGATGCTCTACTCATATTGCATTAATTTTATTTTGCACAGTGACCTTGTAGCCACATGAAAAAGCACCTGTGTTTTTGTTCAGTCTCAGATTTATCTGGTTGAGTTGGTGTTTTCTGTTTGGGGTTTTTAATTTTGTGTGTTTTCATACCATGAATCGGTCGACAACAATGTGGAGGTTGTTAACGATCAATAATGTCGGCAATCTCTTCTTAGTCTCTGTTACATGACGTTTTATTCCAATTACTTTTCATGGAATGACATATTTTGAACAAATAATTTTTTTGACAAGAAAGAATGTATAGAAATCTCCTTGCAATTAATTTCCAATGTTTACATTTTTTAACTAGACTGTGGAATTTCTACAGATTAATATGAAATGGAGCTCATGGTCCGTTTGTGTGTTAGATGTGCTATAGCCGAAGCCATTTTTGTCTTTTAAATGTTAGTTTCAAGCTCTCAATAAAAACGCCTGTTGCTGACAGCACAGAATACCGGGGGCGGGGGGTAGGGGAGCCTCAAGCACAGTCTGTAACTGTTCTACTAATGCCTTCCTAACACGTAGTCACCGTCTGCTTGCACACCTCCCGGGGTCTGTGCTGGGCATGTTCTCGAAGTCCTTCTCCATGTTCATGGTGCAAAGAATGAGGATGGCCCCTCCTCATCTGTTGCGCTTCAGTATTTTAACGGCTATGAATGTAAAATATATAAATATCTAAACCTGCGGCTTTAACAACTGTAATACAACTTTTTGAATTAGTTATGTGTATAGATAATTAAATTCTTCATATAAAAGTTAGAAGGAAATGCCTCTGTGTTCTTGATGTTGGAACCTGGTTAGTGGTGACGTGGTCTCACAGACTGGACATCAGCTGGGTGCCGATTTTGACGGGTACTCTTTGACAATAGAGACTTCACCAGTTTTCCCCTTGCTCCTCATCTGCCCTGACCAATATGTACAGTACTGCTCCTTGTAGTACTGGTTAGAGGACTAGAGCTACGCCGAGCTTAGCATTTTGCTATGTCATTGGCCCTAGTGTATGTTGTTGATATGTTGGACAAGGTGTGGACTTCACTGTGGGACCAACACACTTATCCATAAGAGACTGTTGACTTCCAAAACTAAATGAGTGAAGATGGGAACTTTCACAGCTTCATTTGGTTGATCAGGATCCACTTTGGCTCCACACACTCAGTTTGATGCACTTTGTAGAAATAAACCAATGAGCACACTGATGAAAAATTGCTATAATGCCCATGTGCTTGCTTCCACTGTCATTAGCTTCACTTATTGGTCTTCCCTTAATATTCATTTGGAAAGCAATGTCATTCTTCAACTCAGTAAATGGGTTTTTTGGAGGGGGTGGTGGAGGGAAGACATTAACCATGTACTCAGTACGGATAAGGTTCCTGTCCTCATGGAGTTCATATTCTAATGGAGAGAACCAAGCAGAAAAGCAGACTCCGTCCTTCCAAGCAGTGTATGTGGTGTGGATGAGGAGTTCTGTGCTAGGTAAGGCCCCACTGAGCACAGGTGCACAGAGCAGAGAAGCAGGGGTTGCAGGACTCTCACAGGAACAGGTGAACATTTAGTTAAGAACTGAAAAGGAAGTAGATGCCAGATGAAAAGGTGGCGAGAAGTGGATATTCTAGATGGACGTATTAGGGTATGTAAAGGCCAGGACGTGGAAGGAGAAGAGTTACCCACTACTATCCCCACACCCTTGTAGGGCAAAGGCCAAGTCAGCAAGCCTTGTGTTTTCCTAGGATTCCCTTCCCTGTGTAAGTCAGCGTATCTTCTCCAGCCCTGAGTTGGGCTTGAAGGGATGCTATTGTCAAGGTGGGTAATACTCTGCTGTCTGCTTTGGAACATTCCCTCTGGTACACTCTGTAGATCATTACTGTAGGTTTTCTCCTGCATCTGTGAAGCTGACTTAAATCCTGCCCTCCCATCCCAACTGTAAAGTCTCCCATCTAACCTAATGGTCCTCAACTGGGCAAGTCCACACCCCAGTGTCTGAAGACATTTTTTAATGTTAACAACTTCAAACTAAACTCTTTACCATCAAGTCAGCATCATCAACTCATAGCTAACTCTGCAGCGAGTTTTCTTAGGCTGTAAATTGCATGGGAAGAGGTTGGCCATCTTTCTACTGGGTGACTGCTGATGGTTTTGAACACCAAAGAAATGCAGCCTTTGGATTAGCACTGTAACTCCCCACAGATGAGGCCACCAGAAGTCCCTACTCACAACTTGGGTGCTAGCATCTGATGGGCAGAAGCTAAGGATGTTGGTCAATATCCCACAATGCATGAAAAATTGTTTGTCACAGCAAAGATGGGTCACACCCAGGGTGCCCCTAGTGCTGAGGTTCAGAAACCCTGGTTTCAACCACTGGGCACCACAGTTACAGTTGACCTGGTGGTTCATGACCAAGAGTGGCCTTGCCAATAGCTGCTAATAACAACTGTTAAGTAAATGTAATTTTTTGTAAACTCACACCATCTACCTACAGTATAAAAAGTAGCCCAAAACTTTGGTTTTTTAAACTTGTCCTTGTTATTCTTGATTACTCCCCATACTGTTTGCATTTTGATACTGGCTTTTATGGTATGTTAACCATAATCTCCAAGAACCTGTTAGTGAAATATCGAATTAAAAAAAAGTGAAAAAGCATTTTACTTCTAATTAGTCAAGCAATATTAAATGTCAGCATTGGCTCTGAAATTTAAAGGTGGTTAGTTGCTTTTGCGCTCTTTTGAGATGAAAACTACTGGTCATTTAATCCAGAAATTATTTTTTATTTTATTTTACTTTGGTTTTCATTTGTCTATACAAATATATTTACAACTGAACTTTGAATACCATTTTGCCTCAGTGGCATATGGACAAGAATACAAAAGAAACGACCTTTATCTCGCCTTCATAAATTGCCTTCCACACTGTGGGTTCTCGCTGCAGGAGCAGACCCTGGAGAGCTGAAGGGACAGGGCGTTTGCCACGGACTCCCCAAGTAGCCTGCACCCCAGCTGCCTCTGCATGGAAATGTCTTTGGGAAAGTGACCTAAAGAAAGGGCTCACTCCTTTGTGAAGTTACAACATACATGTGCAGTGCAAACACGATTGCCTGGTCTCTGGAAGGGGATCCAAAGGCAAGCAGCTCTGTTGGAAGCATAGCAAGCCCAGATTGCTTGGGTGATCTCCCTCCACTTTTTATGTTATCATTAGAGAAAAAAAATATCTGGCAATCTTAGCTCAGGAACACCTCAGTAGTAGGGTGAATCACATGAAGCTGCCAGTTACACATAGGAGATGATATGTTAAAAATGCCTTTGAGTGAGTGAATCAAATGAATTAATAAAAGTGAAGAAAACACATTCTTTGGCATGTGTTTCCTCAGAGAGGAGACCAAAGTGTCCATTTCATTTCTATTTGAACATCCCCATAGCAACAACATCCTTGAAAGGAGCCGTTGAAGGCGGCTCACTCTTCCTGGCGGCCAAGCCTGCACGCCACGTCTGCGACAGCTGGGGAACAAGCTTACCAAGACGCATGCAGTCCTGCTCCCTGGCAAACTGAAAAATCATTTCTGGAAGAAAGTAAATGTTTTTTCTTCCACCAAGTTTAGAAATTAATCTTATTCTTTCTTCATTCCAAAAATACCAGGAAGACTTTTTAGAGAAATTGCCTTGAATGCCAACACTCCTAAAAAATTGTAAAAAAATTTCTCCTCCTTCGAAAAAGCCAAACACAAAACCCACCACACTGCCACGTCTTTCTCCCGAAGAGCAGCTGGTGGGTTCAAACAGCGGAACTTTTTGGTTACCAGCCAATCACTTTGGCCTCTGCACCACTAGGGTCCTCCCTGCTCCAAAGTGTCTGGCAGTTTGGATCTGGGAGGCTGGGGATATGTAGGTCAAAGGATACAATAGCCTTCTGTGAATATTTCTCTTAAGCCTCTGTTCTCTCGGGCCCTTCCGAGAGCCAGACTTAAAAAAACAGACATCCAGAATGCTTCCTGCTATGTAGTGAGTCCATTTCAAGTACTCCATTGTGAAAACCAGCTATGAAATTCTTGTCAGTATAACTTGCTGTTGAGCTTACTACCTCTAGAAGCTTGTGTGTGTGTGTGTGTGTGTGTGTGTGTGTGTGTGACAGAAAGATTCAGAGACAAAGATGAAGCAGGGAGACAAGCAGTGAATGACAGAAAGGGTCAGAGAGGGTGATTTGCAGGTGATTAAGACTCCTGACTGGAAGGAATCACTGTGAGTTGGAATCAAATTGATGGCGATGAGTTTTAACTGCCTCGCCTGAAGTTTGCTGAATTACAATAATGTGATCAGGGCAAAGGCAGAAAGTAGATGAAGACAGTCCACAGAAGATCCTAGCCAGGGCTGACAGCTGCTGGGTCTACATTTGGCTGGCATGCAGTTTGAGAGGGAAGTTACAAGCCTCAAAAGAGGAAATAACCCCTCCATGGACACAACCCATCATAATTGTCAAAGTGGAAGTGTCTTCTCTTGTCACTGTTCCTCACTTGAAGGCAGGTGAGGGTAAAGCCCTCTAATCCGCCATGTTTCACCAAGGAAGATGTTTTAGTTGGAGAGAGTAGGAGACAACTGATCCTCCTAGCTCCTCCTGAATGTCCTGTGCGGTTTCCCACCTGGGTACCTGTCACCATGCAGCAGTGCGTACTCATCCACGTGGATGTATCCTAGGCACACACACCCCTCCAGGAGGAAGGAAATAGACATATGACTGATGGTAGAGGTGAACAGGTGAAGAGATGCACCCTATGGACTATTAGAAGACCTGAGATCCTAGCAGACACCAGGGCTCCGGGGAAGTGTGGTAACTTTGCCAAAGGTCTGTTCAGTAGGAATATTTGAGAGGAGCAGTGGTGTTCATCCCAGAAGACTCCTGGCTGGCGCAAACGAGATAATGTGCCCAGCTGCTAACTGAAACTTTGGAGGTTCAGTACCACCTTAGGCACCTCAGAAGAAGCTCAGATAATCTACATCCAAAAAAATTAGCTACTGAAAACTGGCACACAGTCTGCTCTGACAGACACTAGTCACCATGCATCAGAGTCAACTCAAAGGCAGCTGGGACACTGACCATCTCAGAGCTGCCCACGTCCAGATTTGAGCAGATGGGGGATGGCTCTTTTGTCACGTGGGTCTCCTCAGGGATGTCTATGGCAGTTTGAAGCTGTTAGAAAGGACTCCTTTGGTGCACATTTGTTTTAATACACGAGTTGAAGACGCACCTGACCTTCATTCCCCTGATGGACCATCTTCCAGAGATGAAGGCTCAGAGGAGATCCCCTTGCTCTGTGCCCACAGAAGTACGTGTGTTGCTCTTCCTTTGCACTTGTTCACTACACTTTTCCAGATTGTTGGGGCTGGCACCAGAACATAGAATAATAACTGAGCTTGTCTGCAAGTTTAGTGTAATCGTTTACTCTCGTTTCTAGGTAAATGTAGGAACATTTTCTTTTCTTACCGGTCAACTGCACACAGGAAGATTCTTATTTGGGTGCCTGAAGTGAGCACAACTGTATCCTGGCACCTAGCAGATGCTAAGAAACAAAGCTGGATGGTCATTCAGAGCCTGAGATCAAGCTTCCAGCTTGGCCACCTGTGTGATCTTGAGGAAGATGTTTATCTCTTTGTGCTTCCCTTTCCTCCTGCATCCAAAGGAGATGGCAATAATAACACCACCTAGCACACTGTAAGCTCCTTAAAATACTAATTTTAAAAAAAAATTACAAAAGACAGTTGTCTCTGTGAATTTAA